AGTTTGTATGGTCGCAGGACACTCTCACAGTAACTGGATACCCAAAGGATAACAGAAATAGTCTGAAAGGAAAAATTGCAAATTCACCAATAAGGATTACACTAAAAATATCTATCAGGAAATTAGAGGCAATGGATTCAACAAATTCTAACGCAGTTCTTCTATGTAAATCCCTTCAATTTCTCATGTGAATTTCCACTCTGGTTTCTGCAATCACTCTACTGATCCAGGCCTTCATCATCTCCTGCTCAGAATACTACAATGACCTAACTCTTCAGCCTTTCTTATGGCTCTCCTAGCTCAAAATCCATCCTCCACTTCACTCCAATTTTCTGTCACTTCCCTGGAGAAGTGGGGACTGATTAACATCCTTTTCACTCAAGGAAGAGTCCAAATTCCTAGGCATGGAATCCAAAGGTTCTTTACAATATGCCTCTCCCCTCACATCTCTCCAAGCAGGTAAGATACCACCTTACCTGCAAATCTTAACTTACATATGTATGGAGAAATCTACCCAGTTGATCAGCACATATCCTGCATTGTATCAAATTAGCTGTTTATATGTCTTCATCTATACTACAATGTGTGCATGTACATATATGTCCGCTTATTATTCAATAAAAATCTCTTAGGCACTTACAATTTGCCAATCACCAGAACAGTGTACACTCCCCATACACAGCAGTAATGGGAGAATGGTTAACAAATATATGACAGGAATAAAAGAAAAGATAATAGATTATGAGTGTTTGCAATCCTCCTCCTTTTCTCTCTGGCAAAAAAAGAAGACGGAGTTTTGCTGTATCAGTTGTTGGATGCTGTCATAATGCATATCTCAGCAATTAATAAATGACAACAACAAATAAAAGAAGCTGAAAGAATTAAACTACATAATAAAGAGTGAGTCAGAAAGGAGAATGAAAACAGCTAGATTTGGGGTGAATCTGGAGAAGTTTAGAGATGAGTATAGCAAATTTCAAGAAGTTTTACCTAAGTATTAGGAATGAAATCATCTTAGAATTCTTGGAAGGAATTGGTTTAAAAATGATTTAAATTTGCTTTTCAATTAACAAAAACAGGGATGGAGGGTTAAGTTGCAGGTATAAGGTGCCTATTACCTGTTCACTGTTGAAAAATGAATCCTGTAGACCATTAAGAACAACACTGTCTTGTAGGAAGAGAACAAAAACTTACCTCAACAAAGAAAACTAGATTTTCTAAAAGAGTAGGATGTGTTTTCAAGTTACCGTCTTTAACTTCTAAGAGGTCACCTTTACATTTACTGAAGACATCTGAAAACAAAAAACAGTTTAGTTGTATTCAGCTTTTATTTCAATGCTATTTTAAGGAACACAACACACAAATAAAGAATAAGCAAATAAAAACTTAATTTAGAAAGCAATTTTTTTTTCATTTTCCATAATGAACCCAACTCCAAAGGACAGACTATCCATTTTAAGCTCTTTAAAAAGCCATGCTATTGCTCTATAGTCTTCAAAATATAAAAGGTAGCCTTAAAAATTATATATTCTACGGTCTAAACACCAGCGAAGCCTTTTCAGACAGATCATGAGCACAGTAAGACTAAGACTCTTAAGTGAATGATTCAGAGGACTTGTGCCATTATGAACTGAAAAACCAAAAAGGTACATTGTAGAAATGCATCTTCATACTGAAAGACCAAAAAGGTACATTGTAGAAATGCATCTTCATAACAGATAATAAATTTTATTATCATAATCTTAATCATTAAGTTTTCAGACATTCTTCATCTGGGCAATAAAATATAAGACCAAGCCAGGCTCGGTGGCGCACACCAGTAGTCCCAGCTACTCAGGAGGCTAAGGCAGAAGGACTGCTTCAGTCCAGGAGTTAGAGTCCATCCTGGGCAACATAACAAGACCTCATCTCTTTAAAAAAAAAAAAAAAAAAAAATCCTTTAGGGTACTAAAAAGAAAGACTCCTTTATTTTTTTTGAGATGGAGTCTCGCTCTGTCACCCAGGCTGAAGTGCAGTGGCACTATCTCGGCTTACTGCAATCTCCGTCTCCTGGGTTCATGCCATTTTCCTGCCTCAGCCTCCTGAGTAGCTGGGACTACACGTACCTACCACCACGCCCGGCTAATGTTTTTGTATTTTTAGTAGAGACGGGTTTTCATCGTGTTCACCAGGATGGTCTCGATCTCCTGACCTTGTGATCCTCCCACCTCAGCCTCCCAAAGTGCTAGGATTACAGGCATGAGGCACCACGCCCGGCCAGAAAGACTCTTATAGATATAAGATGCATATATGTGCCCTTTAACAATTCTATTAAATTACTGGGAATTTAACAATTTAATAATTCTATTAAATTCTTGGGAATTTAATCCCAAGGAAGGACTCAAATAATATCCTAACAATTTGTCCCAAGATATTCATTTCAGCATTGGTAGAAGAAATAACTCATATACATAATATGTCACCAATTGGGGAGAACATAAAAAATGTTAATACAATACTATAGAATATTATGCAATCTTGAAAATAAATGGAGTATATATAACTAACATGGAAAGGTATCCAAAATAACAAAAAAAAATTAAAGTCAAAAAAGCATGTATTACATCATTTTCTATGTTTAAAAATTATTTTTTATCTGTATTTTCATTCACACACATATAAGTGCTTAGGTGGCATCTAGGAGTATTGACTCCAAAGTGTTAACACTACTTACTTATCTCTGGGTGATTGGGTTTGGGAATGGGGGAAAGAACTTCCAAGCTATTGCCATACAACCAGATACAAATACATGAATCTACAGTAGGAAAACTTACCTTTTAACTGGTCTAGTAAAGACTTAAAACTATTTTCTATTCGTTCCTGGATCTCCATTGTATCCTCTAAAATTGAAAAACAAAAAATGAAAAACGTTCAGTTCCATTTTTAGTAAGATAAAGAAGCAAGATAAATACCTGCAAGAAGTTCATGGGCAAGGACATTTTCTTTTCTCTACAGACCCTTATGCATTTTTCATTATTTTGAGACAAAAAGAAAAAGATAATGAAAGGAAAAGGAAGAATAAAAGGAAAGGCACTAATTACCTTTCTGCCAAAGGTACTACCTAAAATTCTTTAACAGGGCTTAAAATCTATGTGCTTCAAACACTCTAAATGGTAGGATCTACTAACCTTATGATTTAAAAAAAATAGATAAATAAAAGGAAAAGTCTATAGAGTATTTGTGATTTTCATGGGTTGAGAGCTTACAAAAAAAAAATCTCTTCTCTACAAAGTTTAGTGCTTTTCCTTTTTTTTTTTTTGAGACAAAGTGTCACTCTATCGTCCAGGCTGCACAGTGGTGCTACCTTGGCTCACTGCAACCTTTGCCTCCCAGGTTCAAGCGATTCTCCTGCCTCAGCCACCGGAGTAGCTGAGACTACAGGCACCCCCCACCATGCCTGGCTAATTTTTGTATTTTTAGTAGACAGAGGGTTTTGTCATGCTGGCCAGGCTGGTCTCGAACTCCTGAACTCAGGTGATCCGCCCGCCTCAGCCACACAAAGTGCTGGGATTACAGGCGTGAGCCACTGCGCCCGGCCTACTGCTTCATTTTTAAAATCCAACAGCCTTTCAACAAATGAAGAATTTCTTCAACTTCTGGACCTAAGAAGTGATTTTAAATATGGAATGGACTTAAGCATCTAAAACATTACTTTGTAACCTATGACTGTACCCTCTTGTATACTAAACCAGACATCTCCAGAACAGCTTCCAGCTGCCATATACTCTAAAATTTTCCAAATGTGAGGTTATAGACATTTTATTACGTGTACTACATTTTCTATGACAAACACCCTGTAAACACACAGTGTATACTTACCTAAACCACTGGTATCCAGCTCATAAATATCACTGACAAGATAAAAAGAGCTTATCTGGCACTGAGAACAGCCAGAATTAAAGAATCCACCCATTCTAGTAGGTACAGGACCAAGGAAAGGATACTGGAAAAAAGGGAGAAAAATAATGCTCTTCTAGATCCATCTAAATGCATACAAAATAAGAAAATCAAGTAACTAGTGAATAAAAACCTGTCTCAGCTAAAAGCCACTCATCAGCAAACTAATAAACTGAATCATTACAGTAAAAACAGAACATCTATATAAATTTGTTGCTAGCTATTAAAAACTTACCATCACAAAAAGTTATTTTGCTTTCTCCCTCACTAGTCTGGATATTGAGGAAGCCTCTGCAATTCCCTCTGAGTCTAAAATATTCCTCTTTCTCCTACAGAAGCCATAAACTGGGACAAAACAATTCCTTACTACTCACTCACCCCAAACGCCTGTTTATAAAACAGTCATAAATATAATTATTGCAACTTTGATGGTAAATTATATATATTGATGGTACCTGAATATCCTTCTCAATAAATCGCTTTCCTGTCTCCAGGGCTGCCTCCAGCTGTTGAAGGAGCAAACGAAGAATATCAATCCGGGAGGATACCCCATTCTCGGCAGTCTTCTCCGAGTTCTTTGGCTCCACAGGGTGGTTGAGACTTGGAAGTCCACTGATCAGCCTCAATGTTAAGGATCGGATTCTTAACCACAAGGTCTCCTCCTCTAAGGAAAGTTTCTTATGTTCTTCAGAAACGTCCCTTAAACAGAAACATCCCCAAATTATCTAACTTATTCAATTCATTGCTTTCAAATCTTTTTTTTTTTTTTTGAGACGGAGTCTTGCTCTGTCACCCAAGCTGGAGTGCAGTGGCACCATCTCAGCTCACTGTAAGCTCTGCCTCCTGGGTTCACGCCATTCTCCTGCCTCAGCCTCCCGAGTAGCTGGGACTACAGGCACCCGCCACCACGCCCGGCTAGTTTTTTTTTTGTATTTTTAGTAGAGACTTCCAACAGCTTGGAAGTTTCACCGTGTTAGCCAGGATGGTCTTGATCTCCTGACCTCGTGATCTGCCCGCTTCGGCCTCCCAAAGTGCTGGGATTACAGGCGTGAGCCACCGCACCTGGCCTCAAATCTTTTAAAAGTTAACTTTCGGGAAAGATGGCGGAACAGGCTACCAAGTCCGTGCTGTTTGTGTGTCTGGGTAACATTTGTCGATCACCCATTGCAGAAGCAGTTTTCAGGAAACTTGTAACTGATCAAAACATCTCAGAGAATTGGAGGGTAGACAGCGCGGCGACTTCCGGGTATGAGATAGGGAACGCCCCTGACTACCGAGGGCAGAACTGCATGAAGAGGCACGGCATCCCCATGAGCCACGTTGCCCGGCAGATTACCAAAGAAGATTTTACCACATTTGATTATATACTATGTATGGATGAAAGCAATCTGAGAGATTTGAATAGAAAAAGTAATCAAGTTAAAACCTGCAAAGCTAAAATTGAACTACTTGGGAGCTATGATCCACAAAAACAACTTATTATTGAAGATCCCTATCATGGGAATGACTGACTTTGAGACGGTGTACCAGCAATGTGTCAGGTGCTGCAGAGCGTTCTTGGAGAAGGCCGACTGAGGCAGGTTCATGCCCTGCTGTGGCCAGCCTGACTAGACCCCACCCTGAGGTCCTGCATTCTCAGTCAGTGTGTAATCATGTTCCAGAGCCCAAATGCCCAGCTCTTTGTTCAGCTGACTTACTGTTTCTTACCTTAAAAAATATTGTAGATGGAAATCAGTTATGTTTGGCAGAAGAATCAATAAAATTATTTGATTCTGACAGTTTATGGGGTATATTAAGCATTCTTAGACTAGTTGAACATCTCACTTTGCCCCAATTACAAAAATAGTAGAACAAGCAACATAAAACATAATGAAGGAAAACCTCACTTGAAGGCCCAGGTCAGCATCTAAGCCCGCTGAGACTTAGATAGTCAAGTCTACCTCTTCAGTAGGTTTGTGTGGATGGCCTGATGGAGTGCAGGTGCCCTCTGCTCCCTGTGCTACCTCTCTCTTCCCCAGGGCCTTTTATGGATTGACAGTAGCCCTCTCCATAGGAGCTCACAGTCTAGATTAGAAGTGTTTTAATTTACACACACCCATAGTGCACACTTGTATATTGAAAAGATAGGGAAGAGAGAAACATTTATGGAAACAGTAGTTAGCACCTTCAATACTTCATGATTTTTGTCGAGTTTACTTCATGAGGAGGTCAGCTCATTTGCTCCCATCTGAACCACTTTGCCTCTGCAACTTAATTATATCCAGAAAGAAGGACGCTTGTATGCTAGTCTTAACTATGGTCAGTTGAGGAATATGACACTTTTTATATGCACATGTAACCCAAATGTCCAATATAAATTGGCTTATTTTTAAAAATAATTTTAAAAGTTGGGAAACGCTTTATTATTTGGCATGCTTAAATATTAAGTATTCTTCATCAGCATTTAATAAATGTATAGGCAGATATAGGTAATTTCTGTGTATTTTGAGATAATGTTGAAATCATGAATATTTCAAAATAAACTGGGGAGTTATAAAAATACAACTAGAGATATAAAAAATAAATAAATAAAATAAAATAAAAGTTAACTTTCACCAGTTAAGATGCTTTGAATGGTTCCGGCTTTCATTTACTAGCTGAATGACCTAAGACAAGCCAAAATGTTCTCAAACACCATTTCACTATCAATAAAATGGGAATGATAACCTATTCAACAGGTCATTTTCGGCCGGGCACGGTGGCTCACGCCTGATATCCCAGCACTTTGGGAGGCCGAAGTGGGCGCATCACAAGGTCAGGAGATCGAGACCATCCTGGCTAATAAGGTAAAACGCCGTCTCTACTAAAAATACAAAAACATTAGCTGGGCATGGTGGCAGGCACCTATAGTCCCAGCTACTCGGGAGGCTGAGACAGGAGAATGACGTGAACCAGGGAGGAGGAGCTTGCAGTAAGCCGAGATTGCACCACTGCATTCCAGCCTGGGCGACAGAGACTCCATCTCAAAAAAAAAAGAGGTCATTTTCCCTATAAATGACACTTTGTTCTCTGATTATAAAAATAATACATGAGGACAGGAGTGGTGGCTCACACCTGTAATCCCAGCACTTTGGGAAGCTGAGGTAAGGGATCGCTTGAGGCCAGGAGTAGGAGAACAGCCTGGTAAACATAGCAAGACCCAGTCTCTACAAAAAAAAAATACAAAAAATTAGCTGGACGTGGTGGCACACACCTATAGTCCCAGATACTAGTGAGGCTGAGATTGGAGGATTGCTTGAGCCCAGGAGTTCAAGGCTGCAGTGGGATATGGTCACGCCACTGTACTCCAGCCTGGGTAAGATCCTGTCTCTAATAAAAATAATAATACATGATATAAAAAATTCAAATGACAGAAAAATGTAAAAGGTAGAAAAGCTGCCCTGATAACCAATACCCACAGTATTATCAAGTTTGGTATAGATCTTTTTAGACTTTTGTAATGCGGATGTATAAAAATCTAACTAAAAATAGGGGCTGTGGCCGGGCGCAGTGGCTAATACCTGTAATCCCAGCACTTTGGGAGGCTGAGGCAGGCAGATCATGAGGTCAGGATATCGAGATCATCCTGGCTAACAGGGTAAAACCCCATCTCTATTAAAAATACAAAAAAAATTAGGCGGCTGTGGTGGCACACGCCTGTAATCCCAGCTGAAGCTAAGGCAGGAGAATTGCTTGAGCCCAGGAAGTGGAGGCTGCAGTGAGCCGAGACTGCGCCACCGCAGTCCAGTCTGGATGACAGAGTAAGACTCTGTCTCCCCCACAAAAAAAAAAAAAAAAAATTGGGGCTGGGTGAGATAGCTTACACCTTTAATTCCAGCACTTTGGGAGGCTCAGATCGGGGGACTGCCTGAGGTGAGGAGTTTGAGAACAGCCTGGTCAACATGGCAAAACCTCGTCTCTACTAAAAATACAAAAATTAGCCAGGCATGGTGGTGGGGACCGGTAATCCCAGCTACCTGGGAGGCTGAGGCAGGAGAATTGCTTGAACCCAGGAGGTGGGGGTTGCAGTGAGCCGAGATCACGCCACTGCACTCTAGCCTGGGCAACAGAAAGAGACTAGGACTCAAAAATAAAAAGCAACTAAAAATAATACTTATACAACTTAATAATTTTAAACAAATTGGTTACAGTACGCAACAGGCTCTATCTAAAAAAACAAGTAACTAAAAATAGTATGTATACAACTTAATTTTAAACAAACTGGTTAGAGTATTTACACTATTTTGCAAACTTCATCTTTTTATGACTGTGTGCAGAAAAGAGTTAACATAGCAGGCCTATAGCTATTATCATTAGAAGGGCCTACTTGCAAGGTTGGCCCTTGGCTGATGTCTGGGAACTCTGCACTCCAACAGTTCCCTAAAATAAGAGTGGCTCGCTGTGCCTAAACTGTTTATATAAACCATGTTGTTTATGGTGAATACCTGCTTTCTTTCCACTCAGGATAGACAGAGTGTACCTACATAACAATGAAACCTTAAGCACCAAGTCTCTACTGGGTTTCCCTAGGCAGGAACATTCCACCTGTGTTGCTGCATTTTTCCCTGCTAGAGAAAGGAGCATACTCAGTGTTTCCCCTCAGAGGAGGGAGAAAACACTGGAAGTCTGAATTCTCCAGACTCTGCCTGTTCCTTTTTCCCTTCCAGATTCTGTCATGTGTCCTTTCATTATAATAAGCCTTAGCCGTTGAGTGCAACTATATGCTCAGCCCTGTGAGTCCTTCTGGGACTCAAAAATTCTAAATCACTGAATGTGGCCTTGGCAACCCACAAATCACAGAATGTTCAGAACTACCTCATATACACATCTTAGCATGTTTCTGCATTTATTTCCTTAGGTTCTATTTTCCTACAAGCAGATCTGCCAAATTAAATGGTGTGTGGCGTTTTAAATCTTGGTAGAGATCACTACAATCCCCTATAGGAAGACTGTATAAAATTTATCCCTGTGTAAATGCATAATAAGTATTTTCCACACAGTCTTGCTGACCACAAGTATTCATCTTTTTTTTGCTAGAAACAAAATCTTTATTGCTGTAAGATGTGTTTCTTTGAACTTCTTGTTAAGCCCTTTGCCCAATTTCTTGTTTTCTTATTGACTATTAAGAGTTCTCTCTACATATGAAGGATATTTATATGAAGAAATTTACTACAAACCTTTAGAACTTAACAAATTTATTATTTCTATTTACAGAAGTTAAATTCTTTATGTTTCCAGATTTGGTATAATGCTAAGAAAGGCTTTCCTCGCCTATTTAAAAATATTTTCTATATTTTCTTCTACAATTTCTAAGGAATCTAAAATTTAGCATATAGTCTTTAATCCGTCTGGAATTCTCATATATGCTGTAAAGTTGATCTAACTTTTAGATTAACCGGCAATCCCAGCATAGGGGTGAGCTACACTTTCTTCATTTGGCTTACCTATATTTTCTATCACTACAACAAACACATTATTTTATATTTGTGTAAAGTGCAGTTTGTTTTTTTTAACTTTAGATTCATCCTAATTCTTTTTTTTTTTTTTTTTTGAGATGGAGTTTTGCTCTTGTTGCCCAGGCTGGAGTGCAATGGTGCGACCTTGGCTCACTGCAACCTCCGGTCCCTGGGTTCAAGCAATTCTCCTGCCTCAGCCTCCTGAATAGCTGGGATTACAGGCACATGCCACCATGTCCAACTAATTTTTGTATTTTTAGTAGAGACAGGGTTTCACCACGTTGGCCAGGCTGGTCTTGAACTCCAGACCTCAAGTGATCCACCCGCCTCAGCCTCCCAAAGTGCTGTGATTAACGGCCTGAGCTACCACGCCTGGCCCATCTTAATTCTTTAAAAATAAATTGCTTCACCCAGGAGTTCAAAGCTGCAGTGAGCTATGATTTTGGTCTCTTTAAAGGCCTTGTCTCTTTTAAAAAAAAAAAAAAAAAAAAAAAAAAGAAAGAAAAAAAACTTTAAAAATTGCTTGGGGTTAAATTCCAGTTACCTGTCTTTTGGATCCCAGCTGAAAAAAACATTTAAGTCTCTGTTGTCTCGTAAATCTTCCCATGGAATGTCATCTTCTTCTGGCCTAAGGTTCATTGACTTTATACTTTCTGCTAAACTGGTTGATCTGTGATTAAAAAAAAAAAAAAAAAAAAAAAAATTCATGTATTATTTTAATAGTAAAATAGCCAGAAAATATTATTAATCAGGACTTCCTGTTTTACTAGACAGGAAGGGAAAGAGGAAGGAAGGGCTCATATAGGGTGAAATAGAACCAAGCACAGATCAAACTGGCTTGCTACATGGCAAGAAAAAGGCTTCTGGAAGCCCACACAAAACAAAGGGGATCAGCATTAATTCCTGAAATCTCTTGATTTGTAGGGAAGGAGGAACCTTTGTAAGCACAATAGGGACCAGGTGTTGATGACCATGACCTAAATGGCTTCCGTAATGGTCCCAAGATGTTGCTGGCAGTATTCTATCATTTCCCATGACATGTACCAAGTTCTGTTTCCCCACCGTCTGTCTCCCTTTTTTTCCCCATATTTTACCTTAAGCCTGCTAATAACACCCATGAGCCCATTAACGGCTCTTAACTGATCTAATCCCTTAGCTCCTTTAGAGCTCTCATGCAATACTTACATATTTGCTTCAAGTAGAAGGTCTAACAGCATCCGTTCAGTACGGACTTGTGCAAAATGAAGAGAATTATTCAGCCTGTTCCTAAAAGCGATAAACTCTGGGATCTTCTCAAATGCACCATATT